TACTGGTTTAAAACTGCTTTGGACTCCTTCAGTATATAAGAACTCCATATAAATGTAAAATATTCCATAATTGTTTATTTTGATTCTCTGCATGGCAAGCGCCTCTGGGACGTTCCCTTTGGTGCGCGTGAAGCATGGCGTGTTGTGATGCTGATATCCCACCCTGCGTTGCGCCTCGCCACAGCTCGAGGAGCTTCACACATATTAAGAAAAATTAGATAAAGGAGCCAGCTCTCTGCGTGCATAGCATTAAAGCACGGCCTGCGACATTCTTCTTATAAGCATTTCTGAACAGAGAATCTTGTCTCCGGGAAGTGAAATGCCTCTTCTATCCTCTGCCTCCCACCGCCATTGTTTGGTTCCACTTAGCTGAAATCTACCCTGTGGGGCTACAGAGTGGGGTCATTGTTCTTTGACTGGTTGGTGTCTTCTGATCACATGTATACGAAAGAAAGTACTTGGATATATATTTGTGTGTGTGTGTTCATTTATTTGCTTTAATGATTGCTCAATCTCTGCCATTCCATACAAGAGATTAGATAGATAGATACAGCGGTACCTCGGGTTATATACGCTTCAGGTTACAGACTCCGCTAACCTAGAAATAGTACCTCAGGTTAAGAACTTTGCTTCAGGATGAGAACAGAAATCACACGGCAGCGGCAGGAGGCCCCATTAGCTAAAGTGGTGTTTCAGGTTAAGAACAGTTTCAGGTTAAGAATGGACCTCTGGAACGAATTAAGTACTTAACCAGAGGTACCACTGTAGATAGATAGATAGATCCCCTCTCTCTCTTACACACACACACACACACACACACACACACACAGGAGCATAGCTAGAAAAAAGTGCAACCCTGGATACAAAGCAGAGATGGGAACTATATTATATAGGCGCCCTGCTTTTTGTTTAGCACCAAGTCAAAATATCTTTCTTTTTTTAAATTTAAAAAGCTTGGGAATTTCCCAATCTTTAAGCTTAGGAATTTCAGGAGGCTTTGGGGAAAACAGGAACCAGAGCTGAAGGCAATGAAGTTGTTCAGGGAGCCTTAACATTAGGATCTGTGTGTGGAAATGGCTGTCTTTAGTTTTAGACTTTATTTTTTGCTTCCATGAAGGCTACTAAAGTTTTCCCCAGTGCATCTTCTCCCCAGCCCACAATGCCCCAGGCATAGAGTCATCCCAGGGCATTCTGGGAAGGGTGGGGGAAATGGCAGCTGCCACCCAAAATGGCCGCTATTAATGAGGGTCTTCCATCTTGTAGGGTGGCCTCCATGTGAGGGAGCCGATTGGTTTTGTTTGCCCTGCTTTTCTGTTTTATCTGGGATCCTGCAGGATACAAAATCATTTTTTATAAACAAAACACTGTCTTATTTACAATACTAGAACTCAACTCTGTTTAATTCCTTCCATGCTGCTCCCCTGTCCCTAAATAATTTCTCACTGAACAAAACCCAGATTTTATTTTAACAACATGCCGAATATGTTTCCAATCTCCTCTTTTAAAGGACAGTCTGAAACTCTCCGTGAGAGAAGTCCCACCAGCCTTTTCCGAACGCTGATTTGCATTTTTGATCGTGCAGTAATATCACTTCCAGCCAAGCCATCTGCTGGGGAGTTTATTACCACATGTAAGGCAAAGTCTTCCCATTAGATCCAGAACAGGGATGATAAAGTAGCTCAGTCCTCTTTCTCTCGCCTGCATTTCCAGTATAGATTGGTGTCAGCTGAGTTGCCGAACAGCTGCACAGATGATGGATTTTCTGAAAATATACACTGTTCTTTGACCAAAAGGCTTTCTCTCTCAATTCCACCCTTGCCAGGAGTCTTGCTGAAATTAATGCCCTGGGAGAAGTCAGATTCCATTCCATTCCACGTAGATCTTTGCATTCTGTCCCTAGTTGATACACACCAGGTCTTCCCAGTGTTCTATTAGTAATAGAATGATGCACCAGGAATGGACATGTATAATGCAATTTCCCTCTCGCACACGCATATATGCATGTACACGCACACCCTGAGGAAAATGCCAGTGTTAGGAAATGGCAAAGTTTCGGATGGAGCAAGGGGGGGGGGGAGAGAGCACATCTTATTTATTTATTTTAAGTAGTCCCTCTGGGTCCCTTTTTCTACCGAAGGGTTCAAGGTGACATACAACAGGAACAGCAGCGACTCACCAATAAAAATGTAAACAATTTCTGGGCAATAAAAATAGAACATTTGCCAATAACGAAAACAGCCGCCGCCACAGTTAATAAAACAGCAGTTCATAAACCCAAGAACCACTAAAATGATAAAAGAGTGGAGCAATCACTTAAAAGGCTTGGGAGGTCGGTGGGAATGGTGATAACTTAGTAGCATAATGCTAAAAAACTGAGGTGCCGGATGAGTCGATTGGGGGTGGTTTTTCCAAAGGGTGGTTGGACAGTGTTCTCCAAGCTACCAGCATGAGTTTGACCAAACTGCGGGAGGCAGTGGAAGACAGGAGTGCCTGGCATGCTCTGGTCCATGGGGTCACGAAGAGTCGGACACGACTAAACGACTAAACAACAACAACAACAACAATTCCAAAGGGACGCGGGAGGCGCTGTGGGTTAAACCACAGAGCCTAGGACTTGCCGATCAGAAGGTCGGTGGTTCGAATCCCCACGACGGGGTGAGCTCCCGTTGCTTGGTCCCTGCTCCTGCCAACCTAGCAGTTCGAAAGCACGTCAAAGTGCAAGTAAATAAATAGGTACCACTGCAGCGGGGAGGTAAACGACATTTCTGTGTGCTGCTCTGGTTCGCCAGAAGCGGCTTAGTCATGCTGGCCACATGACCCGGAAGCTGTATGCCGGCTCCCTCGGCCAATTAAGCGAGATGAGCGTCGTAACCCCAGAGTCGGCCACGACTGGACCTAATGGTCAGGGGTCCCTTTACCTTTATTCCAAAGGTAAAGATCTAGAACTTAAAAAAAGACCCTCTCTCTGGTAATCACCTGCCTCCTCTCAGTTGGTCCTCTGGTGACTCTAAGAAATGTTCCTTTTCCTCAAAAGAGCCTCTTGACTTAAGTCTCATGGCTTTTGTCTCATGGCTAAAGTAGATATTTGTTCAACATGTAGCATACAGGGACAGGGAACCTCTCTGACCTTTGGGACTCTACTTCCCAGTCATTCCCTGCAGGTGCCTAAGCCATCACGTCACTCCTAAAAAGTTTCGTGAGCCCAATTTTTTATTTTTTATTGAAAAACTCATTTTGTAACCCTCCCTCAGTGATGACACCCAGGGCAGGCTGCACCCCTCTTCCTCCACCACTGGCCAGAATGTGTCCTTGAAATCCAATCATTCTTCTAGCTAGCCTAGATGGAGAGCAGAGAAGGGAAGGGTGTGCAAGTGTGTGTAATACCTACTCTACTGTGTCTTATCTTACTATATAATAAAATTGCAATGCTGTCACCACACAGCAGTTCATGTGGTTGTCAACAAGAGAGGGCATGGGTGAGGAGAGGGTTGACCAAGTATGGGAGAAGGGAGGTTGGCAAAGTTGTTGGTGGGGTTGGCAAGTTGAGTGAGCAGGGGTGGCAGCCCCTAGCATAGGTAAAATTCGCAACCTCTGCTCTGTCCTTTGGCTGAAAAATATTCCCCACCCTTTCCTTCAATAAGCAAAGTCCAGTATACAGGGAGGAGAGCTGGACTCTTTGAGAACTGGGTGTAGGTTTGCAATGACTTTGCTGCTACAGTGGGTTCTGCATTTGCCACCATCAGAGGAAGAGATCATGGGAGACATCAGTAGCAGCAACCTAGTGAAGAAGCCCTGCCCTGTAAGGGACTAATACCTGACTGCTTCAACAGCCATTTTCAGGCCAGGAGATTCAGGTGCAAGATGGTAGATGGAACACTGGAGAATTGGTACTGCGGTAGCTGCTGATGGGTTTAGAGACCACCCTACCTGTGAGTCCTGCAAGACGTCCTACTCAGGATACACAGAGACTATTGTTTAGAAGTTTTTGTTGGGATCAAGACTCAGTTTTGGATATACTTAAGTTTGCTGTTATTGTTTTATTAGGTAACAAACTTTGCATACTGCTTTGCATACTGTAAAAAAAAAAAAAGCAGATGAACAACAAATCTCCTTTGCCTCCAGATGACCTAGAGACTCTACCTTGGTTTTGGACAGATACCTCTACCTAGCTGTGCACAGTCTGTAGCTGAAAATGAAGCAGATGTCACATTTTGTTCTTACTGCATAGTATAAGGGTAGCCAATGTGATGCATGCCAGATACTGTTGGACTACAACTCCCATCATTCTTGATTATTGGTGATGCTGGATGGGGCTGATGGGAGCTGTAGTCCAACAACATCTGGAGGGCACAACATTGGCTACCCCTGGCATAGTACAGTACACCACAATAGCATGATTATTTTTATTTAAAAAACTAGACTGCAATGAAATATGATAGCTACTAGCCCATGCAAGTACAGTTGACATCTTAATCAGATTTCATTAGCATAATTGCCATTCCCTAATTTATGAACCATTGGCCTATGCCTTCTGTAGAACATGGCAATCAATGCTTGAGCCCAGCAAGTGTCTTAATTATCTGGTAGCCATCTGGTAGTACTCTAACAAGGCAGAAGTTAGCATAGGAACACAGGGAGCTCCCTTTTACTGAGTCAGGCCCCTGGTCCATCTAGTTCAGTATTGTTTGCACTAACTGGCAGCCCCTCTCCAAAGTTTCAGACTCAGGACATTCACAGCCTTACCTGCAGATGTCAGGGATTGAACCTTCTTCATGCAAGGGAGATGTTCCACCATTGAAGAGAAGAACTGAACAGAGGTCAGAAGTGTGCAGGTGCAGTTTGAGACTGCTTGGGAAACATCCTGGAGAGGAAGGCCTTAAGGCAGGGACCCTCAGTCCTGGCAACTGCTCCAAAGGGGCAAGACCTACTGGGAAGGGTTGCCGAGACCACTAGGCTGAGCTGCATTCCCTTTCCTTGCTCTAAATCAAACCAAACTTGGGTCTCTAGCTGTTTTTGGACTACAACCCCCATCACCCCTAGTTAGCAGGACCAGTGGTTAGGGATGATGGAAACTGTAGTCCAAAAACAGCTGGAGACCCAAGTTTGGGAAACATGGCTCTAAATCATGCAGGGAACCTACAGGAGTAGAGAAGGCAATCCTCTGCAGAAGTTACCATTCAAATGCACAAATGATTCCAAAACCATTTCATAAGAACATGCCAGAGGGGATGGTTATAACCAGGTCTCCTGCTTGTTGTTGTTCTTTAGTCGTTTAGTCGTGTCCGACTCTTCGTGACCCCCTGGACCAGAGCACGCCAGGCACTCCTGTCTTCCACTGCCTCCCGCAGTTTAGTCAAACTCATGCTGGTAGCTTTGAGAACACTATACAATCATCTCGTCCTCTGTCGTCCCCTTCTCCTTGTGCCCTCCATCTTTCCCAACATCAGGGTCTTTTCCAGGGAGTCTTCTCTTCTCTTCTCATGAGGTGGCCAAAGTATTTGAGTTTCAGCTTCAGGATCTGTCCTTCCAGTGAGCACTCAGGGCTGATTTCCTTAAGAATGGAGAGGTTTGATCTTCTTGCATTCCATGGGACTCTCAAGAGTCTCCTCCAGCACCATAATTCAAAAGCATCAATTCTTTGGCGATCAGCCTTCTTTATGGTCCAGCTCTCACTTCCGTACATCACTACTGGGAAAACCATCGCTTTAACTATACGGACCTTTGTTGGCAAGCTCTCCTGCTTACGTGGGTTGAACTGTCAGAAAGGGCAAAACCAGGAATGAGAAAGCTGTGTCCCTCCAGATGTTGGAGCAATTCCCATCCTCATTGGCCATTGGGCATCCTAGCTGGGGCTGATGAGAGCTGGTGTCCAACAACACCTGGAGAACCCCATGTTCCTTCATCCCTGGGCTAAAGGCACTTCATAGGCAGTAAAGTGCACATTTTAGGACCAGAACAGCCATGTAGTGACTTAGGCTGGATCTCTAAATTGGTGACTGGCAGGCAGAAAACTTCTAAACTATTGATTGAAGATCAATGATCTCCCAGTGTTAGATCTCCCACTGGCAAATCTTTACAAAGGAACACACAAAGGTCACTAGAAAATTAAAGAACCTTCCTCTGCTGTTAAGCTATTTTCCCTCCTTCCCTTTGTTGTGCTTTGTTGCAGGAAGGAAGAGAAGGGAGTTAAAAGGAGGCTCCACTTATTGTTTTTATTCATTGCTTCCCCAGAGGAAAACTGAAGCAGACACATTAATGAGGAACAATTCGTACAAATGTGTTCCGTTCTCTGCAGATCTGTGTAATCCAGTTCGGTGACAGATAAAAGAGCACTGATTAGAGGAGGAATTTCTTTCTCCTCTCCCCCCTTTTAAAAATATGCCTTAACCCTTTGGGGATTTTTTGTGTGTGGTTATGTAGGAAACCTTTTATTTCCATGCCATAGGGTTTGAGCAGCAGCTCAGCAACATCAACAGGGGGGGAAAGAACTTCTTTATTTCTTTGTTGTGGAACTGTTCAAACACTTTGTTAAAACGAATGAAAAACAAGCTTGACGGGGTGCAAGAGAGTCTGGCTGGAAGATGTTTCGGCTTGGTTCAGAAGCTTCCCTGAACTTTAGAATCTACTCCTTCCTAGAAATCTCCCCTATACCCCCTCAGGTTAAGTGTTCATCTAACTCTGTACATGTTATTTCTGCAGGGAAGACATTGTGTGGCGAGTTCCTGCCTCCCCCAGTAGAAATAAAGACACAGGACACCATAGATTAGGTTAATGGGCGAAATAGGCCACAACGTTATTGATTACAGGAATGAGCGGTATTGGCTTAGGCATTGGTCCTATCGTCTATCTGGCTTCAGCCAGATTGCATGAAGACCGGAAAGGGTTAACCACCAGGAGGGGGAGTCCTGCTGATGCACATCAACTAGGAGCTCCCCCGGGGTCACCGCTCGGGGCGTGCCTTAGGCCCACACCTCCATAGGCTTTGGACAAGGCCACGCCCACCCGGAATCCTTTACCGGACTACCCTACATTGTGGGGGGAGGCGATGGAGCTCCCTCCCCCCTCTCATCTACTTAACCCTACCCTTACCAATGCCTAACCACCAATACTGAAAAGTTGTGATGAGTTGCTACGAGGTAGGTGAAAAACCAAATGGCTGGAGCCAATTTGCCAATTGGAAAAATTCCTACCAGGCCCCATGACAGCGACCAACCAAAGTCCATAGCAATGTCCAAGAAGCCTGCCTAAAGGGAGGGACGGATGGGAAACCAAATCAGCTGAAGCGGCTGGGGAGATGATGCGGCCGAGGATTCTCTAGATCTTGCGGGGGCTGGACACAGCCCCCATGCACGTGGGGGTGGGGGTGAAACCCGCAACCCCACCTCCTCCCCAGCTCGGAAGTGGCTTTCCATAATACTGGAGCCACCAGTGAAAAAGCCCATCTCCCTGAGACTCAAAGCCAGGAGTGCCAGGTTCCACCCAACGTTTGGAGAGACAGGACTGGTGCATGTGTGTGACATCACTGTTGGGATGCTGCCAGGGAGACGGGGGCATCAGGCAGGCCCCCAGCTGGCTCCAGCCACTGGCTGGCAGCCGGGGGATCAACGGTCTCCCTTGGAACAGCATCAAGCAGCGACATGAGCCTCAGATATGTTTAGAGACTCGGCACGCTCTATCAGCAGAGTGAATAAATCTCCACAACGGAAGTGGCAGACAGAGTCATGTGTAAGCATATTTACAGCATTTATTCAGCATAGTTCAGGAGCAAAGGAAAAAACATGTCTGCTTCCCTTCGTGTCCAGCTAAAAACAGCAATACAAAAGCAATATACAAAACGGAAGTTCTGCTGGAAGTAAACAGGCATGTGACACACAGCAGTCATGCCTGTTCCTTTTAAGGTGGAACGGAACTATATCCTAACAATCACATGGTGAGAAGAGTCCTAACTGTGCCGGGTGCGCTCTTTAAGCGTCCTGATGGGTGGAATGGGAAACAAAAGATGGACAGCTGAAAACAGTGATGATACATTGGACAAGGATCTTTGGTTATCTTCTTTGGCGATCACTCGTAGCCAAGTAGTATTGTCTTCCATAAACACAGTCTTAACAGTGAGTCCCTAAGTGACTGTGGAGGCCAATTCTGGATCCACATGTCCTTCCACTGTGGGGACATTGCTTTCTGGGTGGGAGTTGATCACGGCGAGGGTTTGCCAACCATGCCTCATCTTAGCACGTTTCTCCCTTTCGTTCTCAGCTCGAGCGAATTCAAAGTCCATGGCACCTTTGGTAAGGCTGTTCTTCAAATGGAACTGTTTCCCAGTTGTCGGTGTTTATACTACATTTTTTTTAGATTTGCCTTGAGGGAGTCCTCAAACCTCTTTTGCTGACCACCAGAATTACACTTTCCGTTTTTAAGTTCGGAATAGAGTAGTTGTTTTGGAAGGCGAAAATCTGGCATCCACACAACATGACCAGTCCAATGAAGTTGATGTTGAAGAATCATTGCTTTGACACTGGTGATCTTTGCTTATTCCAGTACACTGGCATTGGTTCACCTGTCTTCCTAAGTGATGTGTAAATTTTATTTTATTTTTTTTACTAATGTAGCCGAGTCCTCAGTACAAGGCAGCTTCATATGCTCCTATTCACATCAGTGGTGTCATAGATGCACGAAAGACTCATGTATGAAAAGCTTCCAGAGTGTTTGGAATAAGGCAACTCTGGTCAGGGTGGATTAAAAACAAACAAGCGAGCCACTCAAAACCACCGCAGATAACAAACCACCACAATGAAACGTTTCACTGTACATCAGTAGACTTGTACTGCTTCCCATCTGTGCAAATTGATGGTAGCAAATAGTCACCACAGCAAGGAACTAATTTATTTTGGGATAAATTATTACTGGGACCCATAAACATGTGCAAGAACAAGAGACTCATCAGCAGATTATTTATTGAAGTGGATGACATTCTGTTGACCATCCTCCAAAGTGCCAAAATCAACAGACTCCATACCAGCATTTCAGAGACAGCTGAGCTGTTCTTTCCCCAGCAAAGTCCTGTTCATGGCTTTGTTTATTAGCCCCTTGGAAATCTAACCAGAAGAACACACACATAATTTATACATGGCAAAATGGACTGAATTTTGAAATGTCGGGAGGTGGAGAATGTTAGTATTTCATGAGTAGAATGGCATGAGACACCCAGCTTATTAATTTACGACACCACCATGGGGTGGAATGTGTTTTTCTGCTTAGCCGGGAGACATGCGCTGTGAAGACCTTGAGTGTTCTTTAGCTAGACATGTCATAAAATCAAGAGAACTGTTATTTGTTATTTATATTTTATTGGGTCCCCCCCACCAGTGCTGTTTTTTCTGGAAAAAGAGGTGCCAGAACTCTCTCTCTCTTTTGCCAACAAAAAGTCTTTCTTGAAATTCATTACACAATCATACATCGTATTAACTTCACACATACAAAGAAAAAATATTCTTGAATAAATTTATCATAGGGTATTGATTTAGACTTACACTTTCTCTTTCCACATAGATTCAAACTAAACTAAAATCAAATTAGATAAAATAAAATAAAATATAACAATGATAGACTTCCCATCATTTCCCAATGCAGTTGACATTTATAATATTGAATGTACTTATAATTATTACCTTACTCTTAATACATTTTCTAATACTTTCTTGCAACATATTGTACCAACTTTTCTTCATTTCTTACTATTTTATATACCCAAGGGTCATTCAAACGCTGCCACGGTGGTGCCAGAACTCACCATGAACGCATCCCTCATTCTCTTAAAATGGCAATGGCGTCCACCTGAGAGCTGCCAAAACTGCATTCTGGCTGGGGAAAAAAATGGCCTGTTTTCTATTTTGACCCTACTCTGCTTTATTCATTTTGCAGGTAGAGCTTTATTTAGTTGTAACAGTTATATCATCATTTCCCCCTGAGGAGCTGAAGGTGGCATATGTGGTTCCTCCCCTCCTCATTTTGCCCTGTGAGATTGCTTAGAAACACACACACACACACACACACACAGAGAGAGAGAGAGAGAGAGAGAGAGAGAGAGATAAAGACTGAC